GTTTAGGGTTTAGGGTTTCGGGGTTGGGGTTTGGCTGCAGGGCTCTACCGGGAAGAGGAAGGGTTTAGTTACCGCCTTTTTAAACGCAGGCCGCTGGCGCCTGCCCCAACCAAACAGCAGCAGCCGCAGCAGCAGCAGCAGCAGCAGCAGCAGCAGGAACCGATCCTATACCCCACAAGCTGCTACTTTGGGGCTTGCAATAGAATGCGCATTGCAGTCCACAAGCTCATGGGCACGCGCTGGTGTCAGGAGTAAACCCTAAACCCTAAACCCTAAACCCTAAACCCTAATCTCTCTATGCTCTAGCCAGCGACTGCCTTTCTTTCTGTCCTTCGGGTTTAGGCTCTCTCGCCCAAAGGCTCTGAGGACTAGGGTTTAGGGTTTAGGGCTTAGGGTTTAGGGCTTGGGGTTTAGGCTCGCTACCTCCGTCCAAAGGCTCTGCGGCTCAGGGTCGAGGGTTTAGGGTTTAGGGTTTAGGGTTTAGGGTTTTTGCAGCCGCATGGAAAGCCCAGACCCGAAGGAGCAGCTGGTGGTTGAGATTTGGAGTTCAAGAAAAAACACTCCGAAAGAATTGCTGCTGCATGCATTAAAGGAAATAGCAGCAGCAGCAGCAGCAGCAGCAGCACAGCTGCGCGCGGACGCAGACTGGGAGCGAGAAGAAAAGGCCCTACAAAGCATGCAAACCCTAAACCCTAAACCCTATACCCTGAAGTGGAGCGTGCGGCGTTCCCCCGGGCGCTGGCTGGGCTGCAGCAGGAGCGGCGGGCCTGCGCTAGGGTTTAGGGTTTAGGGTTTAGGGTTTGCGCGCAGAGGGCTGGGAACAAATTTGCAAACACAAGGAAGCTGAAAGGCAGCAAGAACTCCAAGGGGGCCCCCCCCTCTATACCCTAAACCCTAATGGAGAGTTGCGGCCTGTAAACCCTCAGAGTGGCGCCATATCTCTCCCCATAGTGCCCCCCCCCGTAAACCCTAAACCCTAAACCCTTAAGCCCTAGGCCGTGGGCTTCCCGCAAGTTCCAGGCCCGCGCAAACCCTGGAGCTGAGGAAACCCTAAACCCTCCTTAGCCCCTAAACCCTAAACCCTGGCACGGCGCAGCAGAGTCGAGCTGCAGGCCTTTAGCTCGAGGGCTTAGGGTTTAGGGTTTAGGGTTTGGGGTTTGCTGCTGCAGCCGCCCGAAATTAGCCCGGAAGAATGGTTCAGGCAAGAGCAGCAACAGCAAATGCAGCAGCAACAGCAGCAAATGCAGCAGCAGCAGCAACAGCAGGTACAGCAGCACCCGCAGCAGCAGCAGCAACAGCAGCAGATACAGCAGCACACGCAGCAGCAGCAGCAGCAGCAGCGAGAAGATGCAGCAGGCAGCCCCGACGATGTGCTCCTAGAGGATTTGCCCCTCCCGCGGAGAGCTCTTGAGGGCTTGAAGGAAGTAAACCCTAAACCCTAAACCCTAAACCCTAACTCAAGCTGCGTTGCTGCTGCTGTTGCCCTATCTCAGCATCTGCCGTTGCTGCTGCTGTACCTGCTGCTGTGTTGCTGCTGCTGCACCTGCTGCGTCTGTTGCTGCTGCTGCTCTGCTGCTGCTACAACTCCTGCTGCTGCTCTTGCTGCTGCTGTCCACGCTGCTGCAACTGCTGCTGCTGCTGCTGCTGCAGTGCGGTGTACGTACACTGGGCCAAGTCAGCCTCTACTCGCTGCAGCAGCTGCTGCGGGTTCCAGGCGTAAGCCTTTCAGCAGCAACTTTGCTGCAGCAGCTGCTGCAGCACCGCTACGACAGGGAGTTGGCCCCAGACTAAACCCTAAACCCTAAACCCTAGCTCTCGATTGAAAGAAGGGCAGAAGCCGTGATGCGAGCGTTGCGTCTTTGGAAAGCAAACCCTAGACCCAACGTGAGGGTTTAGGGTTTGCGGTTTGCAAAACCCTAGTGCGGGGGTTTAGGGTTTAGGGGTTGCAGCACCGCGCCGCCTCTTCGCTGCACCTGAAACCCTAAACCCTAAACCCTAAACCCTAAACTTCTGCTGGCGAAGCGAAGGATTTAAAACTTTGACAATTAGACAAGAGACAAGATCAGACCTCTCCCACATGAATTAGATTTTAGGGTTTAGGGTTTAGGGTTTTCTTCTACGGCGATTTGGGGGAGGCGGAGTTTACGGCCAACAGGGCAGTAAGGCCGGGCGAGACAAATGGCGCACTGCAAACCACAAACCCTAA